AGTGAAGGACGAGAGAGGACCAGGCCTGGAGTTTATTTTGTGTTTTGGTTTTGTTTGTGCGCGACAGTCGTCCGCGAGGGGCTGTCGCGCTATTTTGTGTTTGTTTATTTTATTAAAGTTTGTTTAAATGTCCGCTGGTTCCCGCCTCCTTCTTCCCGAACTATGAACTTTGCTACATAAAGCATTTGAATACTTTTCGCAAAGTAAATATTTCCTAGATAATATTGTAATAACTTGCTTTAGTACAGTCACAATTTTTTAATTTAGAAAAAAATTCTTTATCAGAGTTATTAAAGTCAACAAAAATGAAAACTAAAACCATAAAACATTTAATAATTTATTATTAATTTAATATTTTTAATAATAATTAAGAAAGATTTAAGTTTAAGATGTTGCCAGGCCAACAACTCATTTCATTTTTTTTTTTCTTATTTTAAATAAGTTTAACTTAATGTACTGAAATAACTGAAAAAATAAATAAATAATAAGATCTTTATAGACAAATAACAAAAACTACTAAAATGACATAAAATGCACAACAAAGTTACTAAAACTTACTCAAAAATTAAAATATATTAATGGAAACTGATTCAAAATATCAATAAATACTGTAAAATTATCTCAATGGTACTAAAAATAATACTGTTCTTCATGTATTTAATATCACAAAATATTTTCTAGCAGTATAAAAGCAGCTGCCTTTATATTTTAGAAAGGGGGTACTTTTTAACTCTTTAATCTGGGCAGAGGCATTAAATCTGAGAAAATAATCCTGTTAAGAAGGTAATAGAGTGGGAGAGAGCAGCAACAATTTTGCAATTCTTACATTTTGTTTGTGGCAGAAGTTCACAGCCTGAAGTGTTTGCCAGATGATGCTTTTAACCATGTGCTCTGGAACGCTGAGTGAACACACACAAACACATACACACAAAAAGTGTTACAACGCAGTTACCGGAACACAAACCTCATTTTCTACTTTAACTACTCCTCTGCTCCTACTGAACTCCACACTAACCCTATAGGTTCTGATGATATAGTGTGTATGTGCGTGTATGGGTGCTCTATTGTGTGAGCTTTGTTGATTCTTGACTTGTAAATCAAGAGGACGACACATAAAGAGTTAAATGTTGTTAAATGTTTAACTGCGTCTCCCTCAAGTGCACCACAGAGGACAAATGCATCCTGCTGTAAACATTCCACCAAAGACATGCTGGGCGTCATAGCAACAAAAACACAATATGTGTGTTAGTGTGAGAAACACAGAGCTGTTTTATAGGTGTGTCTGCATGTGTGTGTGTTCTCACCCTCTTGGGTATCTGTCCAGCTCATTTAGGACGGTGTGGTCGCAGTACTCAAACACCAGGTGCAGTTTTCTCTTTCTTCTGAACACCTCGATCAGATTCACCAGGTTTGGATGTTTCAGTTGCTAAATACACACAATTTAATGAACAAATTAGGATTTGTATGTGTGAAAATATATCCAAAAAAGTCTAAGAACACTTACTATTTAGTTTGAATGCCGCAAGTTTGTGTAAAACCTAATAATCATGTTTTCCAGTATTGTTTGAAAAGTTTTAAGAAGCATTTTGTGCTTTAATGAAAGGAAGAATGTCTGATCATCTGTTCAGAGGAGTTCACATGGCCGATGTCACAAATTTACTTATTTTTATAGTGAGCAAATACTGCAGAGTCTTAAATATTTCTTATTCATTTTGCATCATTAAAATCCTAAAACTTTATTTACAGGTTTTAAATGATAAAACCCACTTTTTATGTATACATTTGATTTAGCATTCAAGTGTTTACACAAATGTTTAAAAAGATAAGCAGCCTTAAGTCTTATCAAATGTGTTTCGTAACACACCCCATATCACTGTTGATATTAACTCAAACTTTTTTTTTTACATTTTGATAATTGAAATAAAGCTCAAATAAAATAAAATATAAATTTTAGATGGAAAAACTTTATTAGATGGAAATGTTGCCTTGGCAACTAACTGAAATAAATTAGTTGAAGTACTAAAATTACTAAAAACTAAAACTAAAATAAAAATAAAACTTAATGGACATACTTGTATTTATTTTAAATATTTCCATTAAGCTTTATTTTTATTTTAGTTTTCGTTTTTTATTAATGAATTAATCATTTTATTTTATATTATTAACCATTTTATTATCAATAATACAAAATAAAATGATGAATTTATTAATAAAAATGATGAAAGCACATAACAAATTACTAAAATTAAAATGAAAACCTAAAAAAAAAAGGTAATTGAAAATATTAACAAATATCGTAATAGTAGGCCTATATAAACAATATGAAAATAACACGGCTCCATATAACAGAAACAGATCAGCATCCACCCCAGAATAAATCCTAGAACCATCTTCAACTGCAAGAGTTCAGAAGTTTAGAGATTTGAATAAACTGGAACTTCCTTTAAAGACAAAATAGTAGATTTTTAAACATGATCACAGAATATTTTTACAGCCCAGAGTCAAATAAATGAACTAAAGTCTGTGGTACAGTAACATTCTGACGAGAAAAAAAAAGGGAGGGTACGGTGGCCGAGAAGTGCAAAGCAAATCACAATTCTGAAAACAAAATAACAAATTACAAACGCAAATGCAAGTCTAAAAAACAAAATAACAATTCAGAAAGCACAACAACAATTCAGAAAACATTATAACAAGTCAGAAAACACAATGACAAATTTGAAAACAAAATAACATTAATAACAAACCAATGATTAATCCCAAACCAATGGCGCTGTCTCAAACTATACCTACCTCTTCCGGTTTGTCTGATTTGTCGTTGTGTTTTCTGACTTGTTAATTTGTTTTCGGATTTGTCATTGTGTTTTCTGACTTGTTATAATGTTTTCTGAATTGTTGTTGTGCTTTCTGAATTGTTATTTTGTTTTTTAGACTTGCATTTGCGTTTGTAATTTGTTATTTTGTTTTCAGAATTGTGATTTGCTTTGCACTTCTCGGCCACCGTAGGAGGGGAAGGGAACAACAAAAATGTTCATCCATCCATTCATGCATAGCAAAGTGAAATTAATTGGTGAGCCAGTGTTGGCTGACATGTCAGATCTTCAAAGGGCCACTGCTTTGCTCTTAGCTCAAAGGAAAGTGTTTGCAAATCACAAGAGCTCCAGACACTGATTATTAAAACATTCTGTCGCCACGCGTCCACTAATGAGACAAAAAATACTACTAATACTATTCTTCAAGTCTACAAATGATGATAGTAGCAAAACAAAATCAAGAAGACTTCCTCCTGAAACAACATCTTAAACTGCTTTGCTGGTCTTGCAGTCTGTTGGCTGATTCTAGACACTTTATACCTGACCATCCTACAAAGCCAGCTTGTCCAGGATGGGGAACCATCTTTAACAAGTTAAGACCAACAAACCATTTTAGGCTGGTTTAAACTGGGATTATATCATCAGGGTTTACCTTCAGCATGCGGATTTCTCTGAGCGCTATTTTCTTAATGATGGGATCATCCTCAGACTCCACAAACTTCTTGATGGCAACGATCTGTCCAGTGTCTTTATTCCTGCACTTGAACACGACGCCGTACGAGCCTTCGCCGATCTTACTGATCTTCTCATACTTCTCCATCTCCGTGACACCAGCAGAAAACACTTATGAAACTGCCTCACCTTGATTTTGATTGAAATGTGAAAAAATGCAGCCAAATATGTTGTTTGTAAATGACACATACTGTACATGGCTGAAGATAAAAATGCTATTACATTTTATATGAACGTTATTCCCTGTTACAGCGTTACACAAAGAATTACTACTATAGTAAGTACATGTAACAAGGACACTGTAAAATAAAGTATTACCAAAAATTCCTACTGTATATTGTTCAGGGCCTCTTACCTTTTTAAAAATTTAGAATTTGAAAATTGTTTGAACATTTAGAAATTGTTGTGGGCTCCTAAAAGTTCACATTTGACCCCACTAGGACACCAAACTTTATTCCTCACATTATTTTTTTTGTATTTACATATTATCTACAGGTCACTAAACTTTATTTCTTAATTAACTTATTTTAACTTAGATGGCAATTAATTTGAGGTGTTGAAAGGAAGGCAACACATGACTGTGGTAAAGATAATTTCTAGTCAAGTCTAACGTACTGCTCTAGTGTACTAAACTGTGTACAGTTATACACACCTATAACTGCAGTTTAGTGTTCAACCTTAAAATTGTAAAATGAAAACATTCTTATGTCATCTAATAATATATAGAGAGCATAGAGTTAGATATACAGCTTACCTTCCAATGTCTCATCCAAATATTTGCTTTATGATAAAGCAAAATAGCACAAATAGCAACTTCCTGAGATCTAAATTTGTCAAATAACCGGAGCTGTGTGTTGTCGTGTGAATCTGGCGGAAAGATAGAGCCGTGTGTCCGCGCACCGTGTTTGAGTTCGCATGGAGAAGAAAACACGCTGTTTACAAGCGGCCGGTCGCCATAGAAACCGAGCCGACACTCCGGCTCCTCTCCGCGCGCGCTTCAATATGCACAGCAACACGCTGCAAGCGTGAAACTATCCGCTTTATCTGACCTCAGATCAGCCGTTTACGATACCAGAGCAGTGGGACTGTAAATCCCTGCATCCGATGACATAAATCAAATGCCACGCAGTTTATTTTTCACCTGTACACACATGCACAACACTGCGCGTGAGCGTGTGTGAGCGCAGCAAGCGTGAGGTGACAACCTCTAAAAAACAACAAACAAGTCCCTCCGTTGATCACACAGCACACTACAAACTTGTAATAATTAGTACAAGTACACTATACAATTACAACAAAAATACAACACTAACGTTACCCCAATGTTTGGTCCATGAATGGACTCTCTTTCATTGTGAGCATGTCCAAATATGTTGGTTATGAGAGATTTTCATTATATTTCGGTGTATTATTTTTTTTAAAATCTGAAATGACTTTGACAAACATCCCAAAGAGTTAACAATTGCCTTTTTATTACAAAAGCTGCTGCATACATTAAAACTAAAGCAACGGAAACACTTGAGATATCACAGTAACCTCACATCTCCCATGTTTTGTCATTTTTAAATACAAAAAGAACATGTACAAAAGTGCTTACATGGTGCAAGTATTGAATTAAAGTTACTTTTAAAAAGAGATAACTGAAATTTTAAAATAGTACTCAGCTGGGAAAAATATAAGAGCTACAACAAACAAGAGAGAAAATGACCTGCAGCAGAAAAATATTCACTCAGTAACATGAGGGCGAGATGCTTCACTCACATGACTCAGCTGAATAAATAACACACTCATTCTCCCAAAACTTTCCCCATTAGGTCAGGTCCTGAAAACCTGACATTTTTTATCTACAATTAACACAAAACCTCCGAAGTTAGTTACGTTTAATAAAACCGTTCCCTTATATGGCACTTTTTGAGCAGCAATGCATTTTGCTCAATGTTCTATCTTTGCAGCTTTAATGATTTTTAAATGTTTAGAATGATTACAATATTTAATAGGGTTTAAAAAACAGGAATTTAACACAGAGCACTATTGCTTGCAGTTAAGGCGATTGCTTGCTTGATTTACAAAAATCTGACTGGCTGCTGTAGAACTGCATGATGTTTGATTCTGGATGCCTGAAGTGGCGAGAAGTCTGGCGGTCTCTGGCGGTGGGCAGCGTACGGCATAAGGCTGCAGTGAGATTTAGCACTAAACACAGTCTGCTCATCAGCTCAGCTGTGGTTGTCCAGCGTCGGTGTCGTTCCGGAACGAATGCATCATGGGTACTGCAACAGCTCCAGGTACTGCGGGCCTGAACGGCTGAAGGAGGCGGAGCTAATAACTGTTCTCATGTCCAGCTAGGATGTAGAGGTTACTCAGAGCGGTAGGGTTATCTGTAGGCCGGCTCTCCAAAACAACAACCCTAAAACGCACACAAATATTAATACACAAACACTTATCAAAATCAACATGTACCATATAGAGGAGATGAGTGTGAAAGTGTGGAAGAAAGCCATGATTATGCAAATGTAGAGGGGTTGCGTGAGGTTGGTGCAAGCGGGAGGCTGGTCGTGTCCTCAGCCGCAGGCGACAGATGAAATTACAGCACTGAGACACCAGCCTGGCACTGCCAGTGTAAATAAAATATGGAGATCTCATAGGGAGAGTGAAAGAGAGAGACAGCATGTGCTAAAGAGGCCATTGTGTATGTGGCATCAATGTATGGTGACACAGATACGTTTCTGTGGCCAAAACACACAGACACACACACGTCAGACAAGTAAAGCATTGAATATACATTAAAATGTGGCTTCAGAAAAGTGATGTCAATATAATGCTTGTTTTATTTACATATAAATGTGCTCGGTTCTAGCTGTTTCTGAATGTAAGAAGTGTCTGTTTTTTTTTTTGCTGAGGTATCTTGTCTGTATTTTTTTTAAATTGCATTTTATGCATTTATAATTTATCTAATTAATGACAACCCTAAAAGCCCGGACTGCTCTTTCCTACATTTGATCTTGTACATTATTTGTTATGTCGTGCAAACTAAAAGAGCTTAATAATTTGTTTTTGTTAATGATGAAAAATTCATAGTGAAAAAAATCTAAAGAAAATACAGACTACCGTTCAAAATTTTGTTATCAGAAAGACTTTAAAAAAGAACTTAATATTTTATTCAGCAAGGGTGCATTAAATTAAATGTGAAAGACATTTACAAGCTTACAAAAGATTTCGATTTGAAATAAAGGCGGCAGAATTGTTTATTCATCATAAAAAAATAACAACAACCAACCAAACAAACAAATTCCTGAAAAAAAAAAACTATTTTCACAAAAAATTAAAAGCTGCATTGATGACAATAATAATAAATGTCTCCTGAGCACCAAATCAGCATATTAGAATAATTTCATGAAAGATCATGTGACACTGAAATTTGGAATAATGGCTGCTGAAAATGTAGCTTTGACCTTAGCAATAAATTACATTATTATTTTTAATAGTTATTTGATTATTATTTTAAATTGTAATAATATTTCACAATATTATTATTATTATTATTTTTAAATATTATCTTGGTGAGCATAAATTACCTCTTTCAAAACTGTTAAAAAACATACCAACCCCCTTGTAATTGGGACCAGTAAAAATGCTGGCAGGAAACTACAAGTCTAACTAACTGAGACAGCAGAGCAAAACCTCATCAATGAGCTTGGGTGTTAAATTGACAGACCTAATTTAACCCCGTACGTCACACAAAGCTCAGGTCCCCCACATAAACCTAACCCAGGGCTTCCCTCGCTATAGAAACAAACTCAGCAGAGACACTACATTCTCCCTGTTGGCTTTTTTCCTCCTCATGTCTCTATTTCTGTCCACTGCATGTGCGAAAGTAAAAAGGCTACATGCAGAGTTTCTGGGAAGACATGGCGGCAGATAGTAATGTTTCCAGGAGACCGAAGAAATAGAAGTAAAAGCATTAGCCCCTCACTGCAGAACACAAGATCCAGGGGGCATGGTTGGATCCACATCTAGGGGGTGGAGATTGGTAGGTTTAGGGGTGGAGATGGGTGGGTTTAGGAATCAGGGGTTGGAGACGGGTAGGTTTAGGTATATGTAAGGTGGGAGGAGTTGGATCTGGATCCAACCACGCCCCCTGGATCTTGTGTTCTGCAGTGAGGACCATCTCAGTAAAAGGGTGATGATGTAAGGCAAGAGAGAGACAGAAATTATTTGATCTGGTTCTAACCTGTCTGATCCCAGGAGTCTGAACACTCTGCTTGGATCTGAAATCTCCTGTGTCACCTGCAAACAAGTGGAAATATCCTTTAATAAACAACTGTACACCTGCAGAAAAAAAAGTTCCAGGAGAGCTATTATTATGAAGCTCTTGTACATTTATGCATATAAAAAAACTGACTTATCCCTACAATTAAACTTAAACTTTAATAAAATTAGATACGTGTCATGGATAGTCATCTAGCCATACAACTAGTTGATTAGTGAGGCTGAATGATTTATTTAGATTTTTTTCCAGTGCTGAAAATGTACTCACCCTCAGGCCATCCAAGGCTTACATGAGTTTCTTCATCAGAACAGATCTGGAGAAATTTAGCATTACATCACTTGATCACCAATGGATCCTCTGCAGTGGATTTTGATGTGAGAGGACTTTTTTATTTTAAGAAGCATTATTATAGATTAAGGACCCTATGGACTCTGGTATTGTGTCTAGAAATGATGGTTTGAAGTTAAAAATGTCTTAATGAAGGATTTGTGTGGATTACGATGTTTTTATCAGCTGTTTGGACTCTCATTCTGACGGCACCCATTCACTGCAGAGGATACATTTCTCCAAATCTGTTCTGATGAAGAAACAAACTCATCTACATCTTGGATTGCCTGAGGGTGAGTAGATTTTCAGCAAATTTTCATTTTTGGGTGAACTATTCCTATAATGATAGACCACAACCTCCTACTCAGACCTCTAACTTCTCCCATCCCAAAAACTTTAAACAATGGGCGAAAATATCACACATGGGTCGTGTTCTCAAAATACAATGGTTGGCAATGCAGGTGCACCACCTGGCAGGCTGTAAAGCTCACCACCCCCCCACACACACACTGTCATACTCTTTTGAGGGGTGTAGGTGCCGACCGCTTTTCATTGGAGTCAGAGAGGAGAAAAACAGCTGAATAATTTAATTAATTACTCTCTGGCCAGCTGGAGCTTTCTGATTGTACATTAATTTTACATCATCTATCACACCCTGTCATCCATGTCTCACATACACACACAAACACTATCATATTTCATAAAGACAGTCCTTCACCTCCAGAAGACCTTTGGCCTTTTATTGTACTTATATTACAAGCTCCAGAGCCAAGAAACATGAAACAAAACCTCACACACATAATACAAATACATACCATCACTGTGCGCGCATGCACACACACACATACACACACACACACACACAAGTTTCACCAGAAAGAGTGCTTGTGCTCACATCATAGGTTTGAATGCATGAACAGATCAAATAAATATATACTAATAATGCAATGTTGACACAATGTCTGCGTTTACCTCGTTTGATTTGAAGTTCTTCCCTTGCATCCCATGTTTCCAGAAGGCCAGAACACTGTCCTGGAGAGACACTGACAGAAACACACACATATATAAGGTTACACACACCCATCAAACACACTACACAACAGAATAAAAGCATATCACAGCTGGATGAGTGCAGATGTGAATCTCTCACCTACGGAGTCGACATAGAAATCGAAGCTCAGCTCAGACGCCAGTTTCTTATTAGATTTCAGCTTTCCATGCAAGTTCACTATTTTTACATTCTCTATACAAACACAAGAAGAGAGACAACATTAGAAATATTCAATAATTTTAGTTTTTTTTAAAATAATGTTTATCAAGGTAGATGTTGAATGTTATTTCACTCACTGTCCAGGCACACAAGCACGGTGTCTCTCTCTAACTGTGTCACGTGGATCGTATCGACCTGGTTACCTCCTACAAACAGATAAACATACCATCACTTTTTTTTACTAGGTCATTAGGTAGTTTACTAGCATGGTATAGGACAGTATAAAGTAACAGAATAAACTGTGTTTGAGAGAGAGCTGTACCTGAGCCGATCTCAGTGAACCAGGAGGAGCAGGAATTGAGGTTGATGGTCTGGAAGCGAACCACCTGTCCCGGCTCAGTGCCCTGACTGACCGCCACACACACCAGAGGATACTCCTGCTCAGGGACCACCAGCATCTCAAACACACGCAGCGGACTTGGTAACGGGAAATCAAAGTGCTGTGTGAGAGAGAGAGAGAGAGATTTAAAAGCTTCATAATGTCATATGCCATCTTTTGTTTTATTCAGTCTGGATTTAATTCAACTTTCCTTCTGGTTTGCAAATACAGTTTTTTTGTGTGTCTAACCTTTATAAGCATGAATCTCTGCATAGGTTCGTACCACTGCAGCAAAACAATCCCAGACTGCAAAGCTCCACAGAGATACTTGTGACCCGTGTACGGATTCCGCACTGAAAGAAAGAAAGTGAGCAGATCAAACTCAGTCCGAGTGTGTGTAGCGAATCAGCTCATGGGGAAATATGAATAATTAATCATAACTAGTTATAATTAATTATAAATATTTAGATCCGCTGTAGATATTTACTTGACCTCTCAGGGTCAACTGTCTGTCAATTCTAAGAACGTTAATTTCCTGGTTAAGGGAAATAACTTTCTTACTGTACAACTCTACACAGAGCCTGTAGCATAAATCTGCAGTTATGAGCAAACAATGACCAACGTCAAGTGTGATACAAGTAAGACTTTATTAACTACATAAACACTTAAACTGGTCCAACATACACATAGCATGTTTATTGGGTGAGGGGTCTGTGAATGTTTGTTAATCTAATGAATAATTGATTTGTTAAATCAAATGAAAAATGGTGTGTCTGATTGGTCCAGACGCTACATGTGTGTGTGTGTTTGTACAGGAGTGTGTGTTTAAAGCTTTACCGATGCAACACTTGTGGCATCCCTTGGTGTCGGGGATCTTGGTGGTGAGAGCAAATCTCCTGTGAAGCAGACAACAGTGTAACTGTTAACTACAACAATTAAAAATAAATTTAGAAAAACTGAAATAAATCTGAAATTAAATAAAATATAAATATTAGATGAAAAACTTAAACTTATTTATTTTTCTATTAAAGTATAAGTTGACATTCTAAAACTACTAAAGCGAAAATAAAAGTAAAATAGTAATAATAAAAATGATAAGTATATAAAAATTACTAAAACTAAAATTGAAAATGTAAAAATAAAAACTACTTCAAAATTTAAACAAATAATATAAAAGTGCATAGATAATAGGGCTGGGCGATATGTCAAAAATATCTTGTCGATAATCGCCTTAAAAATATCACGATATCCGATAATATCGTCTACCTAAGCCCCACCTCCACCACGCCCCGCCCCCGCCGAGACAACATTGCCGACATGCACCATAAACACACACCATGTTCAGTTTGGTTTTACTTTACTTAGTTTGCGCTTAAACTAACAGAAAACATTCGCTTTCCTGATATGTTGGTGTTGCTAATAATTTCCACTCTGTTCTTATCAAATTTGTGTTTGAAATGAATTTTGTTTTGTGAGGAGAACTGTTGAGGAAAAATAATAGAACCCAATTTTAAGTTCATCATGGTGAGGCTGGACATTCTGCCGGTGATCGTAAGAATGATAAATGCATGTCATATAGTAATGTCTTGAATAAAAATTGCAGCGTCATTTTTAAACTTGTAGTCAAGCTATAACGTATTTGATATTTATCATGTATGACTAAAATCATGCAGGGATTAAAAAGAATTCTAAGCAAAAACGTTAAGGTTTTTTTTTTCCCCTTTCTGGTAGCCTACTAGTTTAGAGGTCTCTTTTGGCCCGTTTTTAACAAAATAAAAATAACTGCTTTATTTAATTAGAAGCAGGGTAATTTAAATTTCATTTTTGTATTTTAATTTTTATTTTATTAATCATAATACAACGCCCACAATATAATATTCAGTGTTGGGTTGCCGTTCAGTGCATGTTGAGGGGCGAGCTGAGATATAGTACTATAATGTCTTCAGCCGTTTGCAACAAAACTTTATAGTTTTGTTGCAGATGAATTAAGAATTTATATTGCTATATCTCAGCTTAATTAAACATAATTATACTGTATACACGGTTTTAAAAAATCTGTAAAAATAGGAATTTGCGTATTTTAATTATACCTGTAATG